ACATGCAACATATATCCATAAGTAGGCAACAGTGCATGTGAGACAAGAATCTGATTTGCACAGCAGTCCAGCTGTTGGCAAACATGCGGGAATCATAGAACGCAACCAAATCACTGATCTCCGCCCGTCGATCTGTGTGCCGTGGGCCTCACTCTCACTCATGGAAATGTTAAGAAGACAAAACAAATAAAAATTGCTGAGGGTATCTTGCCAATTTCTAGCTGAAGCTATACTTGCCAATGTGAAGAGTAGTGCAGTGAGACACCATGTGGCCATAATTGCCCTCATAAAGGACAGTCCTGCGGTTTTTCCTTCTTTTTTCCTCTTTTTTGGCAGATGGGTCCTGTCTATTGGTGGGGAGTGGCACGTGCTGGAAACCGGTCCAGTGTTCTCTTGAGTGCAGTTTTTTCGTTTTGAATTTTATTAGACTCTGTAGAATCAAATAGGGAGAGTGATACAAGCTCCGCCCCGCTACTAGAACCTATTCAAGTAGCTCCATCTATTGGTGAGGAGCTTCACCTGCTGGAAACCGGGTCCGGTGTCCCTCATATACAACATACAACACCTTGGAGCGCAAAATTACAGTAACTGTAATAGTGAGCAGACCTGCAGCGAGGTCCCACTTGCATGGACTAAGACAGACTGGTTGTCGATAACCAAGATCAATGGCCAGATCTCGCAGCCCATTTACTAGGTGGGACCTTGCCCCTGACATTCTGTGGCTTCGCTTGGGTAGCAGTCTGCTCCAAGACTGAGTTAAAAAGAAAAAGGGAAAACTAGGGCGCTGTCACGGTTTCAGTTTGCAAATGCGTTTCGGCCACAGTTTTGCGAATGTTGTGTCAAACCGAGAAAAAATGTGAATGTATACAAGGCAGCTTTAGGGTCGGGTGGGGATGTGTTGTCATTGAGGGATGCCTGAACTGGATTTAAAACTGAAATCGTGACTGCGCCCTAGTTACCCCAAGAGCACCGGTTGGAAATGCGCATTGTGGTATGAGGTTGCGGGTTCAAAACTCAATTGCAGCCTCATGCATTTCCGCCGGCGGGCATTGACCAGCGTGCGGCTGTACACACTGTCCTCTGGGTGCTACATGGTTATGAATACAGACCCTGCCTGCATCACTGAGGGGACTTAGTCAAGGTTGTTGTATGCTGGGTCTTAACTATGCGTGGGTTGCTTGACGTGGTCATTGTTGGTACTGTTATTCTTCCCTGTTCTGGCATATCATAATACATTGGCATCAATTCACAACGTAGCACATATGGCAGGGGACTACTGTCACATAACAAAGGGCATGTGTTCGAGTCTGGCTAGAGACTTTGGGGGGTTTCTTGCACACACAGGCCCGCCATTCACATGACAGTACAACTCTATGCATACGAAATTCATCAGGGACTTGGTGGGGGGTCCACACTATAACTGGGGCTGGTAGGAGCGGCCTCAGTATCTGGAATCATGGCATATACACATACACAACTAGGGTGGGCAAGGGTTCTCAAGGCTGCGCGGTTGTCCTTGCCCGTCCTTGGTATGTAGAACCATGGACACATAGATATCACACAGAAAGCACATACACATGACTGGGGCTGGCTGGGGCTTTCAAGGCTTCGCGCTTGGCCTTGTCCCGCCTCGGTATCTGACATCTGTAGAAAGGAAAGAAATGCCAGAGTAAGGATACATAGATAACATGCAGATAACAAAAAATAACATGCCAGAATGGGGGTTGGTAGGTGAAATAGACATAATGCTTGAGACTGGCGCCCGATGTACCCAAGTAACGTGGCTTGCTTGACTTTGCCTCAACTGGGGCTGGGTGGGGCTTTCAAGGTTTAGCGCTTGGCTCTGCCTAGCCCCGGTGCCCAGAACTACTGTCTGGTCCAAGTCGCCTTCTGAAATAACATGGTGATAGTCCTGAGTACTCAATACTGAGGTAGGATAGTAGGATAGGGGTGCGCTAGGAGAATTGCCGAGAGGATGGGTAGGGAAAGTGGTCTTATGGAGCATAAGGGATTGTCAGGACTGCCAATAGCTGTGTCAGTAACCCCATGTGTCTGGAGTCCGGCTTCTACAACAACCTGCGCTTTTGGAAAGAAAAAGAAAAGAAAAAAAGAAAAAAAGAAAAGGAAAGAAAAGATAAGAAAAAAGTACTTTCTTTCTTTTTTTTTTTTTTTTTTTTTTTTTTTTTAAAGGCAAAAGGAGGCAGGGAATCCCTCCACATCTCAACCCGGACAGAGGAACCAAGCCTCCGAGAGGCTAAGGGTGGGACCCCATAGGAAAAAGCTTGGAAAAAGTGGTCCGCCACGGGAAACGGGAAAAGTTTTCTGGAAAGCTGGAAAACAGTTTTGCGGGGACCCCACTGCGGTGTACGTTTTGCGGCAAAATGGAGGAAACCTTTTCCGTTTCGGGAAAGCGACTTCTTGGCCTTCCTAGAAAGGAAATTGGTGTGGTGTCCGGGTGTCGCCTATGGACCAAACACATGACCGGCCGTGTCCTGCATGAGTGACGCGCTGCGGCGCCTGTGGGACCCGGTCCTTCCCTGCGAACCGGAACCCCACGTCCGGAGGTTTCCTCCCATGTGACCGTTGCTGGGATAGCGGCGACGTGCCTCTTCCACCCTGCTCGCAGAGGCGGCAGGTGGTCGTCGACACCTGCAAACAAGCTTGCCTGCAACTTGACGGTTGTCCTTCCGCAGGCTAGCGCGCAAGTTGCCCCTTGCCATGGACTCTGTGCCCGACTCATCAGCGGCCAATGACTGGGACGATGTGTCCTTCCTCGCTGTCTTCACCCTTCTGCAGTGGTTAAGCCATAGGAACATGGCGGCGATGGCGGTGCTCGAAGCCGCGGCTGCGTTGCCCATCTGTCTGCCAGGCATGTCGCCCGGCCTGTTGCTATTGGCAAGCACCGTCATGCACGACATTTCCTTAACGGACATGGCTGCAAGCGCATTCGTCCAACGAATGGATGCTCGCCGCCGGGTTTGGGTAATGGAACGAAGCGGGGGTGTGTGGAAGGACCTGCAGAGAGAGGGGGGAAGGCACGAAAAGGTGTTTCAGCGTTTTTGCAGACTTCCTCGGCCATTGTTCAACGAGGTGTTAGCGCGCATAGCTCCTCACATCCAGCGTCAGACAATGAATTGAAGGCAGCCGATTCCCGCTGGTCAGAAGTTCGCTTGCGCGCTAATCAGGTGGGCAACAGGCGGTTTTTACCGGCAGTCTGCCCACGGTTTGGGCCTTGGTTTGGCGACCGCGCTGCGAAGCAATGTTGACGTGGCCGACGCCATAATCAAGGAGTATGGCAAACTGGTGCAGTTCCCGTCTGGCCAGAAGCTGCAAGACACGCTTGACGCTTTCGAACGGAAAGGCTTCCCGGGGTGCGTCGGAGCGATAGACTGCACCCACGTGTACATCGAGAAGCCCAACAAC